CAGAGTGCTGGGAGGACTGTTGAATCAAAAATAATAGCGCGTAATTTGGGGTTAGTTAATTGGTCAGTGGCTTCTTTGAGAGGCCCGAATGCGGCCCACGCTGCTTTCCTTCTTCTGTTAAGTTCCTCCTTCATAATGTTCGCCATATTCAGTGATCGACCAAGGAACACGTGCGAGGAGGTCTTCTAATTATAGATATTTCCAATTTGATATGTTCATCGTTGCACCATTGGTTTTTCACGAAATAGGTCTTCATGCGATTTATGCGTAGTACGTTCTTCTTCCCCGCTTCGTTACTTTCCTTAAGCATCGTCTCTGTTTCAGTAGTACTTTTCGGGAATATGACAAAATCATTCTCAAAACGAAGGTTTGGTAGGAATTTTCCATCGACGCGTATGCCCTTCTCGTCCAATTGAGCGACATCAATATCCACTGCAGTGTGGCGGTGAACAGCTTTGGCGATATCGTATCATCTTGTCGAACCTCTTTTCCAGTGGGTATAGTAAGAGGCCGATAAAAAAGTTGTATTTTCGTGGTACAGATTCGATAGCAGTCTGATAAAGTTCTTATGTAGGACGGATCCACTCCGTGATCGGCAAGTGCTGATAGGACTGCGTTCGTTTCGATGCTATCAAATGCTTTTTCATAGTCGATGAAGGCAACGATTAAGGGCACGTGGTATTCTCGGCAGACTTCTATGACCCTCGAGACGGTTTGAATGTGTCCGGTTTGCAGCAGAATCCCTGTCGAAACCCTGCTTGCTCAATTAGTTGTGCCTCACCCAGTGTTCTTGATATGAGCTCAAGGATGATCTTCGTAAAAAGCACGTAAAGTATGCTTAACAAGCAGATTGGACAATAATTGCGAAGATACCTTAGGTCACCTTTTTGTGGATGATGACTGTGAGCGACGTCCTCCATTGGTCTGAAATTTTTTCCTTTTGAAGGTAAGATGTTATATGTGCTGTGAGAAGCACATGTAAATTATGGCCTCCGGCTCGCAGCAAATCGAAAGAGGTATTCTCGGTTCCTGGAGCCGTGCCTTTTTTCATGTTTTCTATCGCGGCTCGAACTTCAGAGGGAGGAGTTGGAAGCGGTTTTTCTCCAGTGGGGATTACGAGATCCGAGACGGCGGGGATGATGGAACGGAAAAGATTGGTGTACAATTTCTCCGTTATCAATTCCATATCTTGGCGGGAAGTTTCCGTGACACCATCTTCGTTCATCAACTCTGGCAGCGAAAAGCTATATTCACACAGAATCTGGCGGCACTTCTTCAGAATAGATTTTCCTTGTGCTCAGTTTTTTCTGTCGGTACCAATATAGATCCTCCTGCAAGGCTCTTTTGCAGCTGGTATTTGATATCAACCGAGCCAAATATGGTGCATTTCTACCAAGCTTCGGCTTCCTTCGCTTTCCAAGCAACTCATTTTTGGTGGAGGAGATACGATCGGCTTTTCTGAGTTGAGTAAGTGAAACTAAGTCGGCGTACGTTTTTGATCTCTTGACAAGCAGCTCGTAGTCTTTGGCAGGATTAACCTTAATCTGTCAGTCATAGTTGAATAGGATTTCGTCTATCTCTTTGACGACTTCTTCTTGATCGATGACATGAATTTTTTTCAACTTACGGCTGAATCGTCTCTTTGCTCGAAGAAGGCGGTGATGGGACCGTAGAGAATGATGGCACTACGGTTGTGTCGAGCAAGCACCGTTTTCTGTTGGTAAGGATATGGCCAAATTCCGCATGAGTCGTGCCGTTAGGTGACCCCCGTATCCAGCGACGGTGTTCTTTCTTCTGGAAAATTGAATTTCCGTGGAAGAGACGTGCCGCAGACAGGATTCCAGCAAGACGGTTTCCATTTTCGTTTCTTTCTCCTATTCCAAATTTTCCAATCCCGTATTAGCTCTCGTTAGCCAATTCTAATCTGGCATTGAAGTCTCCAACAACGAATTTGTAATATGTGTTATCATTACGGATAACTTCTTTCAACTGCTAATGAAAAGCATCGAGTTCGTGTTCATCAGCTGCATCGGTTGGCGAATAATAGTTGATGCCAGTAAATTTGATACTATGCTTTCGTTGGAGTAGAAGAATAGCTAGGCGAGGGAAAAGGATTTTGCATGAATTGGCGAGATGGGTGATGGGCGGGTAAACGACAAAGCCTCCGCCTCTCACATTTCGTGCGGCACCTTTTCTCCGTGAAGTACGGGTGTGCCGCTGTTCAGATGACGTATTTCGGTCTTCTTAGTTTACGTTTTTTGTACAGCAGTTGCGTGAAATTTTATGCGATTTGCCGCTTTAAGAAATGCGTAATGATCGGCTTTAGTGGAGAGTGTTCTCGCAATATAAGGGCAAGTAGAAAACAATCTCCATGGCGTGTCGACTGCATATTCAACAGATTCGGCTCTAATGGCGCCCCGTGTATCCTTCGTATCTTTCGTATCCCGAGATATCGTGGACTTTCACCGGTTGCCTCTCTGCCTGACGCCATAGACGCACCCAGTGTACGGGATACTGAGGTCGACCTTCTTGCTGGTTGTACAGATGATATTTCTTGGATCCTGACTTAACCTTGCAAGGGCGCTTTCAAGTCTTGATGATGTAATTTTCAAGAAATTTCTGGAATAAAAACATGAATTTATTTAAAAACATCAGTAATTTTTTCTCAGCAAAAAACTTTCATTATTGGCAAACTTTTGGCAACAATCTGTAAGGTTCCCGATCGGCTCGTAACACCATTCCTCGGATTTGATTCAAAAACTCCTGACATGTTTTTTCAACTTGATCAAAAGCCTTGAATCAGCGTCCACGCAGGAATTGTTTGATTAAGCGGAAATCGCACCAGAATCGGACAGCGCAGCATCTGAACTGCAATATGCGGCAAAACCTCGCCTCCTTCTAATTCATTGAACTTTTCCTTAGTCTTCTTTGTAGAGTGAGTTCTGCATTACCTTACTAAAACGGCGCGCACTTTTGGCGAATCAATATCGGATACTTTCTAATCGCTTGTACGACTTTGCAACATTCGCATGGCTCTCAGTTCCTCCACCTTCGGCACAACAGATCTCCTTCACAGCATCTCGTCGAACGCTGCCAATTCCAGCAACAGCGTATCAAAGCTGAGCTCAATTTCACATACCCTTATCATTTGATAACCGAAGAGTGAATCAAAATTTGATGCACTGTATCTAACATTGTCGTGAGAGTTTCTCATGGAAATGTTTCTGAGATACTTCCATAAATTTACAATGACCAGTGCTGTGTGAAACAATCCGAAAATTTAATTTTTCGTGGGTCTTAAGGAATTTTTTTGTTAATTTAATATAACTACAATTTTTCATCGACTACAACAACAACGGCGTCAGCTACAAAGGCTACTAAGCAGTCATAATAACGACTAGAAGACAAAACAAAGATAGCGCAACCGAGGCCTTCGCCACGGTGTTTAGGAATCCATCGTAGGAATGCGCAATAAATTCAGGTATTTGACCTACAACTAAGGGCATGTAAATTTTCTATGTAACAATCTTCTAAAAGATTATAAATACAACGACACACAATTCAGGCGGTATTCCACATTTGTGCTCAACAATGGAGCAAAAACGCTGCCGTGAACTTTTCTTCCTTAAGGATTAGTGATTGTCAGACTTCTGTCACATTCAAATCAGCTCATCCAAAAAAATAATTAGTAAAAAGTGCCTCTAGATCCCTGGTCACCTGAGGTCTGCAAGAAACAGTTAGTATTGGAGCGAAAGCGCGCAATCGTTTTCGTAGGTAGACCTCATAGTACTATTATGCGCTTCATTTTTTGATGCTTCTTTCACTGTAACCAGTGGCGCCATCGATTCTTCACGAGCATAATTGATAGAGTAATTAGCACTTTTTCATGCGACAGCACGCGATAAAAAACCGTTTTACCTTTTCTTCATCCAAATTACAGAGAAAACATTTATATTCACGAAAAGCGCTTTGTTACAAGTCATTTTGAATGTAAGTAGAAAAATATCCTCAATCATATTGATACCGCGAAAGTCAAAACGACACCCAAAATCAATGAAGTAATGAACGATTTAAAAATTTCGACTCAAATGAGATAGAAACGGCTGTGAGCCTTCCGAGCTAGCAGCACCAATTGCCCAATTTCCGAAAACTGAACGAAAAGATATAGAAGGACAGTGTCCATAGGAGCAAAATCAGATTATGTCTCATGACAATTATTTGGGTCAACATGTTATGTGGTTTTTTGATGAGCTTCTATACAGTCGATACACGTGTGTCGGCTTTAACAGTTTCGTCAGTAGGGGAGACTTTTAGTCTTTAACCAATCCTCTCGAGTGCTCCAGTCTTAGAGAAGGCGACGGCGAACGTTATACACAAATGGAACAATCATTTTCCACTTGACGGCAATAGTGTGAATTGCTCGTTGTCGCTTAGTTTGAGTAGGCGGATTGGAGCACCCCGAGAGGATTGGCTAAAAGACAAAAAGTTCTGCCTGACTGACGAGACTGTTAAGGTCGAAAGACGTGTGTCGCGCTGTAGAAGAGCCCATTACCAGACCACATGACATGTTGGCTCAAGCAAAAATGAAAGGATTAATTAAAATTTTTGCGCGGTCTTAAGGAAACACTCGAAATAAAGGCATAATATCTCATAATTGTTATTGAGCCAACTTGTCATGTAATCTGTTAAATGGGCTCTTGTACAGCCGATACACGTGTTTCGACCTTGACAGTCTCTTCTGTCAGGCAGGACCCTTTGTTCTTTAGCGAATCCTCTCGAGGTGCTCCACTCCCACACTAAGAGTGGGCGACGACGAACGATTTGCGCTGTGCTGCTGAAGTGAAATTCACCAAATGAGCAGCGTTGTACATTCGATTGCTATTTGACTAGTATTATGAAATATATTATAACGTTTATTTTTTCCGTTTTCTTAAGACCACACTCAGATTTTAATATATCTCAAACTTACCCTATGATGTAGAGTGGTGTGCAAAAACGTCTGCGTCCGGTGAGATTTAAACCCACACTTCACTCAATCCGGGAGCGCGTACTAAACCGCTGCACCACAGACGCCCGTTTTATCACCTCTTTCTACGCATGTGTTATGTGTCAGCAGTCAACCTTCCACGGTCTGGCATGTGTGGTCGCTACTGATCATAAATATTGGCCATAAATAAAAAGAATCCTGGTTGATCATCGATACCTAATATCTGTCAGCATCAGTAGGTTCAGTGTCGATAGTTACCACCCATGCCACACCGTGAACGGTTGGCTGTTGACAGATAACGCGTTGTAGCGTAAAAAGAGTGGTATCAAAACGGGCGTCGGTGGTGCAAAGGTCCAGCACGCGCTCCGACAGAGTGAAATGTGGGTTTGAATCACAGGTGACGCAAACACTTTTGCACATTACTCTACACCACTGGGTATATTGTAACATCATACCACCGCAAGGGGCTGTGAAATAAAAAGAATCATGATACCTCATAATTGTTATTTGATAAGATATATTTCATATTTTTAATATATCCCCAAACACCGGCAAAGGAGCAGTTGAGTGCACAACACTGCCAATCTGGTGATTTTCACTCGAGGGCAGTGCAGTGTAAATCGTTTGTCGTCACTTGCTTTTAGTGTGAAGAGTGGACCATCCCGAGAGGATTGGCTAAAAGGCGAAGGGTTCTGCTTGATTGACGAGACTATCAAGATTGAAACACGTGTATCGAGCTATACAAGGGCCCATTACCAGACCACATCACATGTTGGCTCAAATAATATTGAAAGGAATGATAATTTTGCTCTTGTTGTTAGAGCTCACCAAAGAGGCTGTTTTGAAAATGAGGTAAATTTTGATTTCTGCGACCAAGCTATTGAGCGATTACTAGAACTTAGGGAAAAGCTCAAAAATGTGTCTTTCTGGAGGCGTTGAACTAGGGCGGATGACGAAAATGATCCAAAGTTTTATAAAGGTAATTTGATAATAAGATCGACCATGGCCAAAAATCCCTTTATTCTATCAAACGAGCACATGTTTGCAAAAAATCGCTCATTTCTGACTGCGTTGAACCTTTTTTCAATTTTACCCAAGTTTATGAAGTCATTTGATAGCTTGAGGAGAGGTGATTCCAATTCTATAACTGTCTTATAGGAAAACTTTAATGGTATGCTCTACTAATGAAAAGTATACAATGCTTTACTATCGATGTAATTAACGTTGTTTGATTTCCAAAGAGCGATTTTTGGCAGTTATGAAGCAAAATTCCTAATAGTCGTCACAAAATAGAGCGAATTGGAATTCAACAATGCCCCTGCATGCTTGCGGTAGAAATGTATGAGAATACTTACAGGAAGCGGCTAGATGGATCAGGTCAATAGTATTATAATACTTGCCCCAACCATCTGCACGTGATCATATTTAGTCACTTCATGAGGATGAACTTTATGAATTTATGGATGTATGAGTAATAGCTGTTAGAGCAAACAAAAAATTCATATAACAGGCACAATCAGTGGTCCTGCCCAGTGGCAACTGCTGACGGCGAGTAATGTTCATAGAAGGTGTAAGTGGCTAAACGTATGATCACTTAGAATCTTTTCATTTGATCGCTTCAGAGGTGGCACTATGTTACAAATGCATATCCATTAATGATGAGTGATCTGTAAGACTTTGAACATCAGATGGGATTCGTATCCGCATCTCACCCTTTTCGGTGACGCGTGTTAATCACTGCACTACCGGTGCTCGTTCAGCCATCATTCTCTCTTCGACACAGTAGTATCACTGAGGAAAATGGTTAAAGGTTGATGGCTGAGAGATCGATACAACTGTGTCGAAGTAAGAATGATGGCACAACGAGCGCCGGCAGTGAAATAACTAGCAGGTGTCCCTGGAATAGGTAAAATGCTGTGGCGAAGCTCGTCCGGCGTTCAAAGTTTTTCTACTTAATCATCATTGTTTAATATAAGTAAATATACGAAAAACGAAAACCACAGAGCGATAGAAAGAGTCCGTTTTAAAGTTTTATAAAGATCCAAACTTTGAAAGCACACTAATGCCCAGAAACTATATTGAGTTGGACTGATATCGCATGCAGTATGTATTTATGATCAGCTGTCCAATGTTTTGAAACTTCCAATTGCTACCACAACTTGCGCGAGCGGTATCTGTTTAGAAATATCAAAATGTATGACTAATGTCGTAATACCCTTCGTACAACTTTTTACAATTAAATGAGTGCTAAAAACAATGTTTTAGTAGTAAGTTAGCTTTCTTCTACACACACATAAGCTCTATATGTTCTAAAAGCACCTGAGCATTTAGAGTAGGCCGTGGTTCATTAAAGTAAGATAAGTAGCTCAGATGTTTAACAAGGCGGAGAAAGAACCCTAAGTGAAATCGGACATCGTGCGCTGCTTTGCGATTCGCGCGGAGCTCAGCGACTTCGGTTGCCGTCCTTATCGGGTTAACAGCTTCAGGTAACTAGTAACTATTGAGGATATATGACATACTGATAGAGTGAAGGATAAGGCTTTTGACGATCGTCAAACATTCAAAAGAATGTACTCATGTGATCGATTACATCAATAAAGAATGAAAGGCTTGGTGAGCTATGAGCACGCAATCAGAACCTGCAATCGATTCAGTGCTTATTTCGTGTTACCTCCTGAAGAATGCGATACAAGCGCATATATCCTTGCATTTGTTCCTACTTAATTCTAGTAGTTCTGCATTCAAAAGATGGGTAGAGTTTTCGGTGTTAGTCAATCTGCAAAAGATGTGCCTGCAGTCGATTTTACTAAGCATTCTTAAAGGAGACTAAATGAATGATGAAATGCATATTTAGTCTTATAATGACTTCTGATAGTTCATCAATGTATCAGGTCAATACTGCTAACCTCTCAAATAAAAACGGTACCACTTTCCAGACCTTGGGAGAATGGAGTGCTTGCAGAATATGGGAAATGAGACCGATCCAATGACTACGTCGTATTGCAGGGCAGCTTAACACTTCACCACATGCACGTTATTTGTTTGAGTGAGGGACAAACTTCATTTTCTTTTGGAGAGCTGATGAATATTCTTACAGCTGCACCATATACTATAATGCTAGTTCCAAAACTAGACACAATGCAAATAGGGTTCTAGACGAATGTTGAGCAACGCTTCATCGACGCCTGCTCATCTGTTACCCACTAGACTACTGTGACCACTGCTTCGACAGTTTATAAAGGTTTTTAGTCAATAAATTTATTAGTGATATTAGACATAGGTCGATGGAGAATAAAAGTACGACCCTATATTCGAGCAGTGCACCATTTCGACGGATATGATTCAATTCGACATTGAACATCGACATAGCATAGACTATCGGCTGCGTACAACTGATAAGGAAAACTGCTGCTGTGAAGAAACGGAAGGTGACGAACTTGAACAAGTCTAGGTACATAATCGAAAAAATTTTGAGATACAACAAGATAATCCTCGCTGCACAATATCATCGTCTTTATTGCCTCTTTTGTCCGTGGTCGTGTTTTGACTGGTGCTGGATTATGAAGTACTTTTGACTCATTTGAGAAGGAAATGAGCCACAGACTCTTTGAGCTGACAACACTATTTGCCCTGATCACCGTAATCTTTTACGAATTGTTTGTTGTCTTGATGAATACAAAAGATGCTATTTTTCACCGTCTTCACAACGTTTTTTTATTCTGCTGAAGCTTCTAACAGTTAATTCTAACTTCTACACTACTTCTACCAGTTAATTCGCTTTTGTTCTTCTTCTTGAATGCCGTAGAAGACTGGTTGAGCACTCTCCTTCTGACTCAAAGATATCCTGGCTATGGCATTCCAAAAGGCGTTCATTCCTGACCACTGGAGTGTGCTAGGGGTGGGGTTCCACCCCAGGCGCACCGCACGAGCTTTACAAGCATCGGTTACGGCACCTTCACAGAAAGAAGAGAAGGTGGATAAGAAAGAAAGATCACAGTGAGATACTTCCAATAGTTATTATATCCACGACATGGAATTGTTAGTATTTTTCCATTGTGAAACTTCATTGATAAGAAAAAAAAACTGTTTACATCATCATTCATCAGTATGAGCACAACAGTTGGACATGCGCTGCACACTGCACCAATCGTGTAGATGCTTTGTCCGACCAAGTTCACTCTGAGGCAGAACGTATCATTTTTCAGAGTTTGAGAAAATCAATGACGTGTTTAAGACTTACGGACCACGGTACATGCAAGAAGTGAAGTAAAATCCACGGTATAAAACGGTCGCACAACCCACGAATCTGTTTGATCCCCAAAGAATCTGTAAAAGGCTTGTACTTTGATGTAAAATATCTTTCTAACTTAGTTTATTCGAGTGATTTTGCAAACCTTGGTAACCCTCGTAACCGTTCTTCGCGTACGTTGGAATACTTGAGACGTCAAAATCATGTTCGAAGGAATGCCATTTCCACGAAGTTCAAACATAAAGCTTGCAATCGCCTGTATGAGTTGTGTAAGCACTATAGATACAACAATCAACACTAAGATTTTGCAGTTAATCGAATCATACCAATCCATACACCCCCTTGACAATCAATCGGATATCATTTTATCTGACCGCCTATGCGGTGTTATGATGTTGCCATAAACCCAATGATGCAGAATGGTGTGCAAAAACGTTTGCGTCAGCCGGAATTCAAACCCAGATCTTCCTCTTGGTGGGAACATGTGCTGAACCGTTGCACTATCGACGCTCGTTTTGCAGTCCTCTCAAATCCCGACTGATGCAAATGTTTTTGCGCACCAGTCTACATCATTGGGTTTACTGAAACATTATAACATCGCAATAGGCGTTCAGATATGATGATATCCGATTATAAAACCAATATCTGTCAACAAAAAAAAGGGTTCAATGTCGATAATGACTGCCCGCCACACCGAAGTTTAGCTGTTGACAGATAACGCGTCGTAGCGTAGAAATAGTGGAGTGCAAAATGAGCGTCGGTGGTGCAACGGTTTAGGACATGATCCTCTTGATAACTGTTGCAAAATCTGTCTGCGATATTATAGTGATTTAGACC